TAATATCAATTTTACCCTTATTTATTACATTTACTTTTATTATACTTATTTGTTTTGGAAATTTAAAAGATTTGAATTCCTAAATTGTAATCATATTCCTTTAATTATCGTGGGCCCAAACATTGATTCACTCCTTCAAAAAACATTTATTCCCATCATTTACCATTATTATTAGTGGAAAAAGTATCCAATAATTTCATCTCTCTTCGTGTGTAAATTCCGATCGATTGTTGGAAGCCGCTGTCGACGCATTTCAGATTTGATTCAATAGGTTCCTCTTCGTTCGAGCACTTTTTCCCCCATATATCCCAATATATCCCTATACACAAAAAGGTAAAGAGTGCAAGACAATCATTATAAGATATATCCCCATATATCCCTACACATAAAAAGGGAAATGCACAAATTTGTTATGGTGCTTTGTATGCTAAGATCAAACTCACTGCAAGATATATTCCCATATAACCCTATATNTCAAACTCACTATAAGATATATTCCCATATAACCCTATATGTACAACTATTGGATACTACTTGGTATGAAATGAATATTAGGATATATTGGAATACAGTACAAAAAAAAACAAGGTTTTCAACATTAGGATATATTGGAATGCAAACTTTTCGATCGGGATAAACGGAGACGAGTTGCTCCGGTGACGGAGAAAAACGAAGGTGGGGACCGGACATGAAGGAGCGGACAGAAACGGAACAATGGTAGAACGGAAACGGACTGCTCGATGACGGGAACAGACAACTCTGCGACGGATACAAAGCAGACGAATGGAGGAGCAGACGAAATCAAGGTGAATCGTTGGAGAAGGCGCAAACAATCGGAAAAATAATCCCAACGAACGGAAAAGAAGACACGAACCGTCACTATTTTTGAATTTGGGGATATTTTTGGAGGTTTTCGAATTTGAGGGATTTGAGGATATTTTTGGATATTTTGATATTTTAGCTTCTTTTGGTAAGTATCATTAAGCAAATATAATGGAATTCAAAATATAACATTCCAATTAATGAATTCTAGAATTTAAAAATCAATTAATATTAGTGTATATACAAAAGGATAGTTTTATAATTTAAGTGATGGATATCAAGTATGTTTCGTGACAAAAGTATAAATTCATATTAATTAGGTTCTTTAAATAATCCTCTACTAATCCCTAATTTTTTTTATCTTTTTTCTTTTACAAAAGAATTTTTTTTTTTAAATTTTCAATATCTAAATTTTGACATGAAATGATGACAACCCTAGATTGAATTAGAATAATATTTGTTGATTGGACAACTGACAATTCATAATTTGTCTCTCCCATCGTGTATCGTTTTCACTACCAAATTTTTCCTGTATTTTTACAAAATTTCCATAACTTGGCCTCGTTTCCATTATAATTTGGACCTTTGGTTCATACATGATATATAATTAAAGCATAATAGTTAACGTTGTTTTTTTTTTCTTTTTTTTATTTTATTATTGTTTATTTCAAGGAATCCTTTATAGGTGTGCAATCTTTTTCAGTCTTCAATAATTCATTTCCTCTAGACTACTACAAAACTTTGGTCATATAAAATAAGCATAAAATTTGGTGACATTATCGGGTAATAATAGTATACCAAATTTAGTAACTCAAGACTCATACGTAGAAACTTCTAAATAAAGTTACAATGATAAATGGATGTACATAATAAACTTATTCAAATATTTATATCATTCCAAAGTTACAGTGGCTCAATCTTTTCATATCATCCACAAAATTCCATATATAAATATTAGAATTTGTCCTGTGCTCTTGTCCAGTTAGATATAGAGGCATATTTTTGAATGGCTAATAAAAATTTATTAAAAAAATATTTAATTTGACTAATGTTCATAAAGTTACATTTTAAAACCAATTGAAAATTAAATGAGTAACCATTGTCTGTTATAAATTTTTCTAATATCATTTTTATTTTTTTGGCATGGTTAACAAATTTAATTAATAAGAATTTGATTTTTTTAAAAGAATTAAAATTTCTTAAGATTCAAGTTTAAATTAGTATGGTCTCTCCCTTCTTTTCTTTTCAATCTGTTTATGTAAGAATATGCACAACAGTGTTCTTCTGATCCTAGCTCGAACCCGGTCTCCGGACCGACCTGAACACTTGGGCGGACCTGCACAGGAAGGTGAACACTCCGACGCTCAAGTCAGTATAGGTCGGACTCTCAGTTTAGTTCGAGGTTCAAAATCATACCTGGGTGTGGAGTGAAGTCCTCTACTTATGGGTGGTAGTCCCGTTGATCTCGCGACGGTTACACCCGATAATCTCGGGACTGACGGTTACACCCGGTAATCTCGGGACCGACGGTTACACCCAATAATCACACCGCTAACAGCTGCTCACCTCGGACCCGCCGAGCTTCTTGGTAGATCGGACCTTGACCAGGTCGCACCTCGGCCCTTATACTTAGCACCTGTCAACGCTGGTGGTGGCAATCTTGGCGGTCCGAGTTGGGCATGACTCATGAGTCATCCTAAGCACTAATAGCTGTCCTCCACGTGTCTAGGGTATTTCATCCCCCAAACATTGGCCCCCTCTCTGTCTGGTTCGATCTTGACCTGGCAGAGAAGTTCATTCGATTCGCTTTGGACACGTGGCGACTTCCTGTTCGTGGAAAAATACCACTGTTGCGGTAGATTTATCGTCGGAATATTCAAATATTCCGACGCTTCGGATTTTGGGACGATCCTAGCCGCTCGTTGATTACACGTATACGGTGGGGAAATTTTTTCGATGAGCTATAAATACCCCCAATCCTTCAGGTCATACCTTACGCTTCCTGAATTCTTGGAGTTCGATCTGAAGGCAGCTCGAACCTTTGGTATGTCGGTCTCTTTCCTCTCACTTTCTCTTTCGAGCATAGTTTCCATGTCGTCCTCTTTTAGTAGCGACTTAGGATCCGATGAGGATTTAGCTCGTAGGTTAGAGTCCGAGCTCGAGGAAATAGAAAACTTTAGGTTCTCCGACGATGGGGAGGATAGTGATGCTTCCACTTCGGGTCAGGGTTTGGAATACCCTTCTAGGATACCCGAGCACTACCTCGGACCCCTTCGTAGGGGGTTCGCTATCCCTGAAAACATCCTCCTTAGGATTCCGGAGGAGGGGGAGAGAGCTGACAATCATCCAGAAGGATTGGTCACTCTCTACTTCAAAATGTTTGAGTACGGTCTCAGACTTCCCCTTCACCCTTTCGTCCAAGAGTTTCTTTTCCGAACTGGGCTGGCACCGGCTCAAGTGGCCCCCAATGGGTGGGGTGTCATTTTTGCTTTGTCCATTCTTTTTTGGTTACGAGCTCGGGACAATGAAGAGGTCGAGCTATTGGATGTTGACCAGCTCCTCGTGTGCTTCGAAGCGAAAAGGATAGCCAAGAAGCCTGGTCGGTACTATATGTGCGCAAGGAAGGGCGCAGGAGGCATAGTTAAGGGGCCGACCTCCATCAAAGACCGAGGTGGAGGCCAAGACCGAGCTGTTGAAGAAGGAAGAGGACAGACGCAAGGCCCAGCTCCGAGCTGCCCATGCTATCACCAAGGGCCTGAAGAAGGAGAAGTTCCAACTCCTCAAGGAGAAGGACGACATGCTTCAGGCGCTTGAAGCGAAGGACGAGGAGCTGAAGCGTGCGACTACTGAGCTAGAGACGGCGAAGGAGCGTCTCAACAACGGAGCCCTTTTGGAGGAGTCTTTCAGGCAACATCCTAACTTCGACGGATTTGCCAAAGACTTTTCTGACGCGGGCTTCAAGTTCCTCATTAAGGGCATTACCTCCGACATGCCTGACCTTCAGATCGATCTTAGTGGTCTAAAGAAGAGGTATGCCGAGCAGTGGGCGTTTGGGCCTAATGGCACCCCTGGCCCCCAAGCGTTGGTGAATAATTATGTCAGAGATCTGGACTCTGACTACTCCAATCTCGAAGAGAACCAGGTCGGCACCACTCAGGAGGGCGCTCCTCAAACAGGCTCTTAGGCGATCACCTTCTTGGGGTCGCAAGGCGAGCGGTCCCCTCACCTCGGGAGCAGCTGAGGCCTTTCTCTGTCCTTCTTCTCTTCTCTTTTGTTTGTAAGCTTTAGGGCAGAGCTACAAAGCCTATAAGCCTTGGCTCTGCTCTCCATTCAATGAAGAAGTTCTTATTTGTTTTTACTTTGGTGTTGGCAACATCGCTCATTTCTTTGCTTTTTTTTAAACTTTGTAGCCAACGTCACCTCGCACCTTTTACCATTGAGATCGCGCCTTCCCTTAAGACTTTGAATTTGAATCTCCGTCTAGTATTCAATGCATTGCACCAACTCTGGACTTTTAACATTGCACCCTTAACTTAAAAACGTTAAAAGGCTAAAATCCTAAGTCCGTAGCTGTCCTTCATATCGCACCTCGTAGTCCTAGGTTCAGAGGCTTGAACATCCTGAACTTTTCACATCGCCCCTTTACCTTGAGGGTTTCAATTTTAAGTTCATCAGTGGTTTTGGCATCGCACCTCGTACCCTTAGGTTTTGGAGGATTGAATTTTAACCGATTGCTGGAATTTGATCGTGTGGGAGTCCGTGGCCCCCATTTAATTTCTGGTCGAACTCGGAGTAATGAAATTAAATCATCTTATCTGTTCCGACCATAATCACATTGAAAAAGTTTTTACAGGTCCATTGAGAACCATTTTGGCATTTCAAGGGTAATAACGCTTCAGGTGCTCCGCGTTCCATGGGTGCGCGAAGACGTCTCCTTTCAGATCGGCCAATATGTTCGTCCCAGGTCGGACTATTCCCTTGACTTCAAACGGCCCCTCCCAGTTCGGGTCAAGGGTACCCACATGGGTTTGGACCTTCCTTAAGACCAGATGTCCGACTTGAGGGGTTCGAGGTCGAACGCGGATGTTGTAATGTCTGGCCATTCTGCCTTGATGCTCCGTCAGGCGTAGCTGGGCCATTGCTCTTCTTTCCTCCAATAAGTCGAGGTTGAGAAGCAGCTATTCCCCATTTGCTGTGGCCTCGTAATGGTCTACTCTGTCAGATGGCATGCCGATCTCGACTGGGACCACAACTTCGGAGCCGAAGGGCAAGGAGAACGGGGTCTCACCCGTCGACTCTTTTTGGGTAGTCCGGTATGACCATAGAACCTCTGGTAGCTCTTCAACCCACCGGCCTTTCCTGGAGTCTAGTTTAAGTTTGATGCCTCGCTTGATGATCTTATTGACTGCCTCCACCTGCCCATTCGCTTGCGGATGTGCAGGGGAAGAGCTGAGGTGACTTATGCCAAGCTTGCTGCAAAAATCTTTGAACTTTGTGTTGTCAAACTGCTTCCCATTGTCTGTCACAATGGCCTTCGGTATACCAAAGCGACATATGATATTTGTCCATACGAAGGACGTGACTCTGGATTCCGTTATGTGGGAGAGCGCCGCGGCCTCGGCCCACTTTGTGAAGTAATCCACAGCAACCACACCGAACTTGGTCTGGCCTTTGCCCAAAGGGAAATGACCAATAATGTCTACCCCCCACTGTGCGAATGGCCACGGGGCCG